AACCTGATAATAAAGAGTTGCAGTAATCCAGCCTTGAAGTAACAAATGCATGGATTAGTTTTTCTGCATCTGTCTGTGATAGTATGTGTCTAATTTTTCTAATATTACGTAAATGAAAGAAGGCAGTCCTAGAGGTCTGCTTTATGTGGGAGTTAAATGATAAATCCTGATCAAAGATAACTCCAAGATTCCTGACAGTGGTGCTAGAGGCCAAGTTTATGCCATCTAGAGTAACTATATCTTTAGACAGTGAGTCTCTAAGGTTTTTGGGGCCAAGAACAAGAATTTCGTTTTTTTCTGAGTTTAACATCAGAAAATTGCAGGTCATCCAGGATTTTATGTCCTTAAGACATGTTTGTAATTTAGATAATTGATTAATTTCATCGGGCTTGATTGATAGATATAACTGCGTATCATCTGCATAACAGTGAAAGTTAATGGAGTGATTCCTAATAATGTTGACTAAAGGGAGCATATATAAAGTAAATAGTATTGGTCCAAGTACAGAACCTTGTGGAACTCCATGACTAACTGTAGTATTTACTGAAGATTCATCGTTAACATGTACAAACTGCGAGCGATCTGATAAATATGACTTAAACCAGCTTAGTGTGGTTCATTTAATGCCAATTTGATGCTTAAGTCTCTGTAAAAGAATATTATGGTCATTGGTGTCAAATGCAGCACTAAGATCTAATAATACAAGTACAGAGACAAGTCCATTGTCAGAAGCAATCAGAAGGTCATTATTAACTTTAACCAGAGCTGTCTCTGTGCTGTGATGAACTCTAAATCCTGATTGAAAATCCTCAAATAAACTATTGTTATGTAGAAAGTCACACAACTCTTTGGCGACTACTTTCGATGAAGAAATGATTGAAGTTAACTGATGAAGATCGATAGCAGAAAAACAGTCTAAATATATATCTAAGTTTACATTGGCAGAAGTCCAAGTCAACAGAGAATATGTTGTATCTAATAAAAAATAATATAAAGAAATGTATTTACAACAATCCACTACTGCTTTAAACTTTGTTTTTTTCCCCTTTGCCCTGAGAAAATTGATCTCCAAATTCAGGAAGGCTGCAGGAAAGTCAATACACTCAGTGCCTCCTGGGAAATGTAGGCGTAGGATATGGATTAGAGTGCTTTTACATCAATACTTATTATTACAGTAGCTTGTTGCTTCTGTTTTCAGTGCAACTGTGAGAGGGATGACTGGTTGTATTTGAGACGTGACTAACAGAAAAACAGACATGAGAAGGGGCGGAGAGGGCACAGCGGGGAGCCCTGACTCACCCGTGTAGTATGCTCACCCTCCGTCTCTATCATAGGCTGTATATAAAGGTCACTATCTCGCTACTGTACCGCCGCTCTCTCTCTCTCTCTCTCTCTCTCTCTCTCTCTCTCTTTTGTCATTAAGCTGGCCACAAAGAGAGCAACAGGGAGAGGGAAGGGGGTGAGATAAGAAAGGGGAGCGGGGGAGGGACACGAGTCTCTGACATTTCTGGAGATTATATGTTTGCTTAATCTGCTGGCTGCTCACGTTAGTGTGCTAACCACTGTGTTTCTATACTTGTGAGGACCCTGGAATTTACATTAGGTACATTTACTCCGTATTTAAGTACAGATTTGAAGTAGTTTTCATGCCAAGTTCCTTTAATACTGCCTAAAATGTGGTACCATGTATCAGGTACCACCTTATATATGCTGTCAATGGGTAATGTAATTTATTAGCTCCAAAGCAGGACCATATTCTGCTTTTTTGTCACCCCAGGAGGACCCATGACCCGTCCTAATCGCACGTACCATCAGTATCGGCTGATACACAAATTTCCGGTATCAGAAAAACTTTTTCAATTATCTGACAGCTTTTGTTACTTTATAAATCAAGATTTTGTACACACAAAACACACGAATAGCTTAAAAAATAGTGTGTTTTGTTTCTGAATTACCCAACAGAACTGAAATAATTAATAAATTCAAGCAGGAAATTAACTGGCATGACATATTTTGATAATTGTCATTTCATGGTTCCAGCTTCTCAGATGTGAGGATTTGCTGCTTTTAATTATTTTAATTTTGAGGTTTTTGACTGTTCAGTAATCAGTAACCAGGCGTTCATGTTTGTTTTTGTCATGTTCATGTCTGAATTAAATTAAGACACTTTCATCACATTGGTGCAAAAAAAAAAAAAAAAACTTCAATCAAACTTAATTCGCAGCCTTAAGGTTTAAAAACATTATCTCATTGCTTGCTGTATCATTTATCTTCTGTATCGGCTTGTTCCAATTCTTCGTTTGAAGCTTTATAAAGCTGAAATATTTATGGCAGAGACTTCGCTTTTATATCGCTGCGCCACTCCATCACAAATATTCTAGGAAATATTCAAGATCATTCATTTTCAAACTGGGGTCCGGGGACCATCGGGGGTCCTTGAGTGCGCTGTAGGGGGTCCACAGCAAAAGGAGGAGGAATATTTTAACTTTTTTTGGAAGTTGGAACAGCATATTAAGACATATGAATGGACTTTTTTATTGATTGTAATTTAGAGTGATCCCAGTTTCTTTAGACTTTTAAAAAAAGGTGACTTCTTAAGACAAAATCCTCTCAGACTGAAGGTCTGTGGTCTAATGTGCATCCATTGTGAGGGTCCTTGACATGAAGCAGCTTAGAAACCCCCTGTTTTAGATATCTTGGGTATCATTTTATACACTTTTCCCCAAAAAACCTCAGTTTCACATATCTGGTATCTTTGGAAACGTTTTTGGATCTCCATTAGAATTTAAAAATACAGTTCTATGAATTTCTGTAGGTTTCGTGGCTGCACAGCATGAATTTCTAATAACTTGGCCCGCTGAGGTCAGTCCAATAGATCGCTACCTCAGAAGAAACAGCATAGCAAAGAAATCTCTGCAAGATGGACCCATAAGTCTTTAACTAAACATCCAATTGCATTCTGCCTTTCTAAAAAACCCTCCTCTCATTATCTAAAACTCAAATTGGCCCTCACAAAGACAGAAATTAAACACACGCACACATAAAAACCTCTGACATTCAGACTGGCTTTTGGCAGCATTGTCAACAAATAAATACAGACCTCTCAGACCTGTAAATCATTTGATTGCCTCGACCGACTGTGTGTGTGTGTGTGTGTGTGTGTGTGTGTGTGTGTGTGTGTGTGTGTGTATGTGAAAACAGCTCCCTACTGCCAGCACAAGTGTTGTTAGATGACTCTGCTCTCTAACAGCTCACTCTGTCATTGTCAGCCATGCAGCAGACTGCTAATGAAGTCAGCCCAACTCGCCACATGGTGCCGTGACATGTGGTAACATATTCTCTTTCTGCCTCCTTCCTCACCTCTCCGTCCCATTCGGCACCGCTGTCACCGCCCTTGTTTCGCCTTCTCTTTCTTTTTCCTCTGCAATCTCTAATTTCCAGACATGTCAGGTGTCAGATTTTATTTATAGAGCCCAAAATCACAAATCAATAATTTGCCTGAGGGGTGCTTTACATTCTGGGGGAGGGGGGAACAATGCAAGAAACCTCAGGTAGAGCCAGGAGGGATCCCTCTCCCAGGACGAACAGGCCTGCAATGGACGCATGTACAGAATGACGCAACAAATTCAGATTATTTACAAAATATTGATGACAGAATTTCTGATACGTGAAGATTTTATTTGAAGAATGTGGATCCAGGAGGACGTTGAACACCTTCAGGTGTCGCCGAGTAAGATATACGACCTCCTCTCGATCGTGTAAGATCAGGAAGAGGACAGGCCACAGAATGGATCAGCTAAAAAATCTCACTATAAACAGATTTTGATGGTAAAAAAATACACATAGATTGTAAAACATAAGTGAAGAGGAGGATCTAGGAGGATGTTGAGCAATGTCAGGTGCCACACAACCTCCTCTCAGCCATGGAGACCTGGGCGAGGACAGACCACGCAGCCACAGAAGAGACGGTGCAGCATCCTGGTTTAAACGTTAGGAGAGCCTAGAGTGAAACTGGGATGAAGAAGAGGAGAAAACAAGAGAGAGTAGAAGAGAGATAGTTTACCATTTTATTCATAAGACAAAACTTTCTTTTCTTTCTGCTCTCATAGAGCAGCGGCTTACGACCTTTTCTGTCTAACGCACTCCCACAGCCGTGTCAGATTAACTCAAATACCCCTTTATCTCCCGCTATCATGTTCCAAATATCATGTTGTACGCTATTATGTCATATTTTAATTAGTGTGGGCGTGTGTGATTGTTTCGAGTGAATGAACTTTACTTTTGTGATCTTGTAGTAATTTGTTCTTTCGCAAAAGAGATCTTGATCTCAATTTTCTGATTCAATAAAGCTTAACTAACTATTTCAATGGTTAATCCAATCCAACTACTTTAACAGTTTATCCTTACCTTTTATAGGTGTTTAATTACTTTTAGCTGTTTCAATCGTTTATTCGCTAACCATTTAAACAGTTTATCCATTACTTTAGGTTAATTTCAAATGTTTATAGACATATTTCACCTGCATTTACTTTTCAACTTAACACAAATATTGGATAAGTTCTCCAAAAGTTTCTCAATCAATAGTTGAGTTTGGGTTGAATTAATGATGCACACTGAGTCAGCACCTGTTCTTTCATGTGTATCTGCACCATTTGCACTCATTGATTTGGGTAAACCATAACCCAAATCATCATAAATAAAGTATATTTTAGCCTCCTCCTTACAGTTCATCTGCTTATCTCAAGATTTATATCCTAAGCTAATATGTCGACTATGAATTTGCATTTCATTAACTATACTTTAAGCTTAAAGTGTAAATAAAAACCCTATAAAACCTCCCCTGGGCGCCCCGTTGTTACACCAAGTACTGTACACTTAATACCTTGTACATCTTTTATAGGTTGAGGTTTACAGAGTGTCCCGAATCCAACATAAAGTCCTCCCTTGGTAGCCAATTAAGCCCTTAATAACTAACCCATCTTTCTCCCCTCCTGACCCAGGTACATGTCTGATTCTGGGCTGCATGATCTATCCAGACGGCTGGGACAGCGACGAGGTGAAGCGGATGTGCGGCGAGCAGACGGACAAGTACACGCTGGGGGCCTGCTCAGTGCGCTGGGCCTACATCCTCGCCATCATGGGCATCATGGACGCTCTCATCCTCTCCTTCCTGGCCTTCGTCCTGGGCAACCGCCAGGACAGTCTGATGTCTGAGGAGCTGCTTGGAGACAGTAAGAGCATAATACCTTCATGGCTCATCGTGGGTGGACGCAGGCGGGGAATGCAGTTGGTCCACATACATACATTGTGTATTTAGGTCTTGGTCTTAGTTCAAATTAAGGGCAATCTCAATAGTAAAGACCAATTATACCAATTTAATTCAGTTAATTGAACTTAAACAATTAATAAATAGTATATCACAGTCATATTGTGAATAATAAAAATGTATCTGACTAAAGTAAGACATCCTCTTTATACAAATGTTACCACTTCAGTTTAATTTACTTCATACCTTAAGTTACACTAAATTATTACGTTACTGTTACGAAAATAAGTTAATGGAAAAAACTGGGTGAGCTGGGTTTAATTAATGGGATTGAGTGACTCCACATTGTTTGGAGGATTAGGTCGTATTAACTTACTTCCTTAAGCTGTTGCTGGGTGAACCTCACTAATGCTCTGACACCAAAATCTTTTCTATTTTAGAATGAATCACACATGGGTCTAATATCCAAGTGTCCACATACTTTAGTCCATTCTTCTTTAGTCTTTACATGGGCTATTTTCACAATCAATAACTCTGTTAACTCTTATTTTAACCCAATAATTGTTTTCACATGTCAGAAAAAGAACAAAAATGTCTTTGCAAGCTCCCAAAAGCCATCTTGCAAATCATTTTTTTGTCTGAGGAACATTTAGAAAAACCCAAAGTTTCAGAGAGGAAAAGAAAAGCTGCAATAATAGTGAGGCTTGAATCTCCAAATGACTTTATTAACCCGACAAAATTACACACATTATATGTGCTTCTGCTGGCTTTCCTCTAATCTTTGCTTTTTATTGTGAAATAATGGACAGTTTTACCACTTCAGGCTTCTAGAAATTGTCTAAATGAATCAATCTGAGAGGAAAACATTCGGTTTAGCTGCTCGCCACTTCGCAATCTGTGGCTAGAGGTCACGAGTTTAAGGCAGAGCAATGTTTGCTTTTGCTTAAACGGTAATAAGCAATAAAGGTTGGGAACCACTGGATGCATAAATTAATCAGCCGTAGTCTTAACACTCAAGTCCCAAGTAAAGATGGGCATATACTACACAAGCCCTAACACATTTTCAATTCATTTGAAAATGGAAACACCAAAAAAAGTAATGGTCCTTTTTTCTTTTTTTTTACTTTTTAAAACCCATTTCATGGTGAATCATAGAGCACTTTAACAGAGACACTATTGTAAAAAAAAAAAAAAACAATTACACCTGAAATGAGATCCAGGCTGTTTTCAAAATAAAACAAAGCAAGTGTCACTAAACTTATTAAAAAATCAATTTGATACTGGCCTGAGTGTCTGAAAAAGCAGCCAGTCTGGCCAAGATTTTATTCCACTTTTGGCTTCAGGAGTGCATTATAATAAGTCTTATAAGTCATAAAGCTCAAGTCCAAGTAAAGTCAAAGTGGCTACAAGCTTTGTGTGTGTGTGTGTGTGTGTGTGTGTGTGTGTGTGTGTGTGTGTGTGTGTGTGTGTGTGTGTGTGTGTGTGTGTGTGTGTGAAGACATTCAATTTGTGACTCGTATCCACACATTTGCTAAGTTTTTGTGCTTAATTGGCCTTTCCATTAAAGCTCAATACAATAATGAGACAGTACACGTCAAAGATGATTCCGCTCATCCCACCGGCAGCTTGAAATTAAAAACATACCTTATTTCCTCCAAGATTTTCCTTGCATAATTCCCCATGCCCAAGTCATTCATTTGCATACATTAGAAGGATGTTGTACGCCACCTGCTTCTATTACCAGTGAGGTTTTTTTTCTTTTCTTCCTTGATTGGGGCGAAATGACAACTGCACTCGGACCCAAAGAGAATGATTTAAAAACAGTGAGGAGGCAGGAAGAAGAGGAGAATACAGATGAAGGAGCACAGGAGATGAAAAGCAATGAGAGAAGAGGGGCACAGAGAGAGAAAGATGGGTGACTGAGAGGAAGAATGCACCAATAGGAAGGGTTAATTGAAGCCTGGGGATGCTGGACAGAGTCATGAATTACTAATGTCTGTTTACACAGCTTGCTGCCAGCCTGTCTAAATGAATCACAGCCACCCTATCAGCCGGGACACAGTCGCATGTTAGCTCTTATAAGCAAAAAAGACTGGGAGGAAGGAGCCATTATCAAGCAAGAGACCGGAGAGGAAGGACAAGACAGAGGGGGGAGAGAGAGAGAGAGAGAGAGAGAGAGAGAGAGAGAGAGAGAGAGAGAGAGAGAGAGAGAGAGAGGGGGATAATGAGGTGAGGAGGAGGAGGAGGATGAGAGCGAGGCAGATGTACATGAAATATGAGATGGAGAGTGAAAAGTGGGGGATTCATCAAACAGCAGATGAAGTTTAAATGGGATGTTTTCTTATCGTGTCACTCAGGAGGATGGATAGTGACACCTGTCTAAGTTAAAAACATCAGAGGGCTGTTTAAAGTCACGCAGCTGTAGTTCTCTGAGAGGAGGAGATGTTTTATGTAACACTGCCACCTGCTGGTTAAAGTTATTGTATCTCCTCTACATACTGATGGTTTCTCTCTCTCTTTTCCTCCCCTTACAGAGAGCGGCAATAACGCTATATAATATCTGGTAATGGTAAAGCAGTCACACACACACACACACAGGTAAGGATCATATTTGTTGTTTCTAGCAGTAACATCAATCTTTTAAGCTATAAAATGTAACATTTCTGCATGAAAATGTCTATAAAGACTTTGACCTATGTTATATATTTTTGTGCATTATCACAAATGTTTCCAGCAATGTTTAAAACTACTATACTCTTATTCATTTATTGACATTTTACATCATTTTTGCTTGAAAAGTCAAATATGTAATCAAAGAAAATCATAATTTAAACCCCATCATGAGTAATTTGTTGTCAGTTTTGGAATATAAACTATAATGTTGTTAAAAAAACCCTCCAAGAAACAATTTCTCCATAAGTTTAGCCTGATATTTGTGTCATCTTTGGATAGTTTGGGATTAAACATGAGTTTATAAGAGCTTTCTTTTGTTTTTTTGTGCAGATACAATGTATTTACTGCCATCAGCAATCACAATAATGTTATTCATCATCAGATAAACATAATCATCATGTGTTGACTTGTTTATTTTCTTTTTGTTTTTACAAATTTTACATAAATCAGAGTGTAAAATATTCAAACTAAATAACAATAACAATCACTCCAGTAATTATAATCACTTAAATGGTGGAAGATTTAGCATATCAATAACTGTATTTGCTCTTTATCCACAAGTGCCTTCCATAATTAGAATATGTTTGTATTTAATTCGGCTTAGCTAAATTCGCAGATGGTGTATGAATGAATACAAATCCACTGATTAGAAGAACGGGAGACATCTTAGAGCTAGAGAGAGTGCTTTTGCATTATCTTTTATCTTTTTTTTTTTTTTTTAAATCAATGATCAATATTTAAAAGCTGTGTGTTTATTTTTTAAAAGCACATAAGTTGATTTGTACAACGACTGGATGAAGTGGGAGTGAGTACACCGTGGATCTCCCACTCGCTCCTGAATTTCAAGAGATTTTAAAATTTAAAAGCACAGAAAGCCATAAAAAATGTAATTTATTGACTTGATCAATTATTAGTAATATGTAGAGCAGACCAGAGGGGAATAACCGATCTATATTCCATCTCCAATCGTCTGAAATACATAAATTCCTGCAGATTCTACAATATTTGTCCTCTTGCCTGCCTGCAGGTCTCGCTGCCTAGACGTGATGTTACTTCAGGAATCCAGCTTCCCTCTCCTGGTCCAACCTGTGGCTGGGATGCAGAGCTGATGTGTAGGGGAAAGAACAGATCAAAGAAGAAGGACAAGAGGAGGTCTGGAAGAGGCCACACAGCCCTTGCTGGAGACAGGATGCCTCTTAATTGTCCTCTCTGAAAGCTCCCTCTGTAAAATAGCCTTCTCATTCATCCCAAACTGCTTTATTTCTGCAGGGTGAATTCTCAAAAAAGAAAAAAAAAAAAAAGACTTTCTTAGAAGTTTTACCTGTGTTGGTATGTCACTGCATCATCTTACCTGAGCTGTTCAAAACTGAAATGTTCTCCATGTGGATGTGAGGTGGAGAGGTTTGTTCCAGTGCAAGGGGTTCAGCTGGAGAAAAAAAAAAGATATATTAAAAAGACTTTCAGCTCCAGGACACCGGATGGACAAACACCACTGAGCGACGGCCGCTCAAATCGAATTAAATCAGAGCAAATTATCCAGACTTTGACCGACACAAATAAGGACTTAACAGACTCGAGGTCAAAGCTGTCAGGTCTTCTCTCTTAACATCTTATCAACAAACTCCCCGCAAAGGAGTTTTGGCTTTGACACTGTTTGACCTTTTGATTTAAAAGGAAAGTGGTGTCAGCAAAGTGAGGACTGAAGACAATTATAGGCTGGATTTAAAAAATAATAATAATAAAAAAGACGAACTGAAAGAAAAAAACTGTTTTGTTATAATTAAATGTTTGATGTGATAGAATCAAAAAGGTAGTAATTAGAGGTTTTGCCGGCGACGACTTTGCAAAACAGATAAGTTAAATAAGGAGAAAACATCAATTGTATGAAGTCTATAATCTATGTATATCTATATGTTGATTATGTCCCTGTACTTTGTCCTGACTTTGAGATGTACACTTTGAAATGTCAAGCTATTGGTCCATTATTAGTGTGTGCCATACAGTATCTTGTAACCTGACAGTATTGTGGAGTACTAAAAGGGCCATAAGAAGAGCTACACTGGACATGAATTCAGCCTGAATATGATTGTTTTAGCTTTTTTTTTTTTTAGCTCCCAACCAGGCTGGCACATATTGAGCATAAATCCTGTAAAACGGTGAACTGACGGCTTTGTTTGGATTAAATTAATGTGAAATGACATATTCATTATTGTGCTTTAGAGGCAAACGTGAGAGCGGTGTCAGTCTGCTCAGCTAGTTCGCTATAACTCTCAAGCCAGAATGGTAACATGAATAAGCATTAAAGGACCAGTGTGTAGGATTTGGCGGCATTTAGCGGTAAAGTTTCAGATTGCAACTAACTGAAATCCGCTGGCGTCTGTATTTGACGACTCTGGAATGAGCCGTTCACGGTGGCCGTGAAGAACCATTTACAGCCAGTTTCGCTTTTGGGTTACTGTAGAAATAATGGTGGTTCAACATGGCGGACTACACAGAAGGCGACCCACAACGTCTATAGATAAAATCAGCTCATTCTGAGGGAAGGAAAACACAAAGATTGTTATATTCAGGTGATTTTACACTAATGAAAACATCCCTATGAATATTATATTCTATTTCTGCCGATAGATCCTCCTAAATGTTACACACTGGACCTTTAATTCCCAAAAAGTTGAACACAAAGGATCATTTTGAGTGTCACAAAGCATAACGATCCTTCTATGTTATCCCTGTTACTTCAGGTGCTCCCACATCGAGCTGAAAGAGTCCTGATGGTCTTGCCAAGCTACAGACTAAAAGAAGTCCCCGATCAATCGAGTCAAAAGCAAAATGTTGAAACCTTTTCTGTACGAGTCTGTCCAGATGAACAATGATATGGAATCAAGTGTGAGACGTAATAAAAAAAAATGACAATTCAAACTTACTAAAAAGGTATTTGTGCATTTACTTTTAAGTTTAAAATTATTTTATATTTAAATAACATGAAGGGCAGTGGTGTGACAAGATAAAAAATAAAAGAGTGGAGGCTGTTATGGGAGCTGATTAATAACCATGGTGTTGAAATGAGTGTACATTTATTCATACGGACTGTCTGTCCAACAGTGAATAGTTTCAATGTTTCAAGGAGTATAAGAGAATAATGCGGTGGAGCTGTTTTAATATTCTCTTCCACTATTCCTCCTACTTTTTCTTTGAATATAAGTTGTGATTTATGAGTTGTGTTGACATTGGAGCCCCGTTTTAAATCGATATGTACAGCACTCTAACCGTGGCACTTAAGTTTCTGTTATCTTCAGCTAATAAATCATTTCTGGTTAGACCATAAAGTACAAAAATGGTACAGAAAAGGGTTTTGCAGGAAGAAAATGTTATTAAATACTTCAGGAAATAAGCTTTTATCTCTAATCTTATATTAAAACTGCAATAGCAAAGAATTTGTGTATCAAACGTTACTGTTTTAGAGCATAATCGCAACAATATTGATGGTCTAAAGGTAAAGCTGTCAAATGAGAAAGACTTAAAATGGTGGTTCTGATGCTTGTCCTCATTATGAAACATATTGAAGAGCAGGAGTTGCATCATAATCAACAGGGACCCAGTGGACTGACCGATGCCAGCTAAGATGGAAATCAGCTTTGACATGCACACAGGCTCCCCGATCAAAGGCAGAGAGGTGTACAAGGCCATCTGCTCTCATGAATCCCCACCAGCGTACACGTCCAACAAAACTGATGGATTTAGAAATTAGGAGGCAACTTTGCTACCCAGGATCACTCGTGGGGCAAAAAAAAATGTCAAGATTAGAGAGAGGGTGGTACCAAGGCTATGTTGTTACCCAAATCAACAGATGCTATCCTCTGTATGGTGGCCATTTAGACCCCTCTCAGTCAGTCTAAGCTGTACTTTTTCTAAGCTGAATTAATTTGCGTGCTGAAGTTGGCAATTAGCTCACCGACACAAATATGGTTTTAGGGCTGCAACCAATGATTCATCTGATCATTTTCTTGCCTTTAAAATGTCAAAAATATATTTTTAAAAAATGCCTTTTTGTTTAAACTCCAGGGATATTCAGTTTATGATTATATAAAACACAGCAAATCCTCACACCTGAGGAGCTACAACCAACAAATATTAGGATTTTTAAACAATTTTATAACAATATGGACTAAATGCTTCGGCTCTAATGTGGTTGTTTGAAGCTCCAACATGTTAACGTAAGGTTTCAGTGTCCTTTACATTTCTAATTCAGGTTTTTTCAAATGTCAGCTGTTATTAAAATTCTTCTTTCAGCCCTTTCCTCTCATTTATATTCACTTTATTTTGATGTATCCTACCCGCTATATACTTACACAACAAACCAACTTACTACGCTTTAATCTGAAAGATAAACACTGCTATCTCGTTCCCGATTTAATTCACATGCAAAACATTTTGACCACAAATGGTCTTTTTCTTCTTGTTATCATGTCGGTCAACAAAGAATTGGGCATGAGATAGCAGTGCGTGGGTGTTTTATGGATTTATGATGTTCATGTGCCTCCTGGGGGACTGCCTAACAATCGGAAATGTACAACCAACTTAAGTAGTTTGGACATCAACTACAGATTTGCTCGTTACCGAACACTTCTCACTGGTATACCTCTGCAGGGACTTTTTGCCGTCCTTGAACGTTTCTCGTCTTCTCTCCTGAAACGCCCCGCAGATATTTGTCAGTGATAGCAGCACAAATTCTCCCAGAGACACATGCTACGACGAGTTGTATAAAACTGTCATTACAGTGATTTATTATAATGAACCATGAAAATAGCCAACCAGTGCAGTGTCTGTGAGTCTCTCCCCTCCACACAAACATACACTCACACACACAAATAATAAAAAAAAAAGACAAAGTTGAAGAGTCCAGAGAGGGGAAAAAAAAATAAAAATAATAATGCTACAGTCACAGAAACATTCAGCTTTGCCAAGAAGAGCGTTCATATGTACAACCATATTTCAAAATGGGATGGGAGCAAATTGTACAAGCATAGAAAAGAAAAGAAGCGAATATTTACAACCTGTTCCTGGTGAAAGCTGGAGTAACCACCTATACATTAAATTACACTTTCTACAAATAACCATTGATATTCAAAAATAAACCGCTAACGTCCTACCTGTGGGCAAGACCACTCTGCCAACCTCAGAAGACTACAAGCACTCGTTACACAAAATATCCCTCTCTCTCTCAAACACACACACACACACACACTCCTCCTCCAAGCAGCCATACTCCTTCACACCCTATTACAGACACACACAGGCGCACACACACACGTACGTACATACACACGAGTGCAGCCTCCCAAGGTGGTGAGGCAGGCTCCCAGAATCTTTACTGAATCTGCAGCGGTGAACAGATATTTGTTGTTAGACAGAGGAATAAAAAAAATAATTGTGTTTTTTTCTCTATACAAAAAGCTTTCTCTTTGCTATAATGAGCCACTAGATTAAAACAAATAAATGGTGTAGAGAGCAGACAACAGACACGAGAGAGAGAGAGAGCGAGAGAGCGCGCGAGAGAGAGAGAGAGAGAGAGAGAGAGAAGAGGAAGTAAAAGGAATAACTGACAAAGGAGGAAGAGGAGAGGGAGGAAGGGGGGGGGTTATAGGCTGGAATGTCCATTGATAAACAAAGTGCGGGGCGTTACAACGGGGATCCAAACAAGACACAGAACAGAGAGCATTCCTCTCCATCACATGAAGGATATATAAAAACAAAAGGAGGCCAGAGAGAGGGCTATGAGCACCGGGGGGATCGTCCATCTTCATTTTATACAGTTTGTCGTGAAGATTATTTCACTGTCCTTTTTTCTAAAATTTTTCTGTCCTTGTTTTTTTTTAAAAAGTATCCCACAATCAGCTGTTTTTCCACTGGCCATGTGTTCAGGTACATAGAAAACATATCTACAGCTTATGGTACACGCCCCTCTCAGGCTGAGTTCTCAGGGGCTGCTGGGGGCCGACAGCAGAGAGGGCTGTCAGTGCCACCCTGTGCTCAAGTACCCCGAGCTGTGGAAGGGGGTCGAGGACGCAGGAGCTCCACGAGTCCCAGAAGGCATCTGGGAGGCAGCGGCCTGGGCCTGGCCTTGTTGAGTCTGTTGGGGAGGAGGAGGGGGAGGTGGAGGCAGTCCGGTCTGCTGAAGGGGTGGGGGGTACGTAGACGGGGGCACTGAAGGGTTGGCGGCGGTGCCCGGGTGCAGCAACGCCGGCTGAAACCCCCCTAAGTTCTGAAAGTGGTGGGCCTGCATCGGGGCGTTGGTCGAGGGGGCGGGGGAGGTGGAGGAGGTGGTGGCGGAGGGGTGAGCGACAGCAGGGTGCTTCCAGTAGGAGGCGGCTGCTGCTGCTGCTGCTGGGATGTCTGGCCCTGCGGGGGAGGAGGTGGAGGAGGGGCGGTGGTCAGCATGAGCTGGTGCTGCTGGATGGGAGGAGGCTGCAGGTTGACGTGCAGTAGGGCGGGGCCAGGCATCGGGTGTGGGGGCGGAGGAGGAGGTGGCGGTGGAGCAGCTGAGCTCTGATAGTGCACGCTGTGGGGAAGAGTCTGCATCAGGGGCTGAGAACCAGGAGGGTATTGGGGTGTGACGGCAGGTTTAAACCCAGGGAAAGGTCCAGCAGGTGAGGGGCTCTGGCTGGGAAAATACGCCGTGGAAGCCGGTGGTGCTGGTGGAGGAGGGGGAGGTGGTGGTGGAGCACCCTGTGTGTTATACTGGGGGAAAGGAGCTGGACCAGTCTGAGCCTGTGGCTGTGGTTGGTTTTGAGGCTGAGCAGAGAACAGCGCCCTCTGACTACGGTAGGGAGAGCCCTGAGGCTGCGGCTTGGGAGAGTGTAGGTGCGATGGTCCGGGGTAGTGGACAGGAGAAGAGGGTAACGGGGTGGGATGCAACTTTGTGGGGGTCAGAGGAGCCGGCTTGGGTCCTGCAGGCTTGCTCGGTGGCTGGTTGGTCGGATTTGGTGTCCGAGGCTGACTGTCGCTGTCTTCGTCCTTCGCTGGCCGACTGGGAGGCTGGGCAAGAGGACCAGGAGAGCAGGGCTGTGAGGGAAGGGAGAGGAAAAGTCAAACACTGGTAGACAAACTAGCTGAGAGGAGTCGATATTCATGTGGGTAATGTTTACTTACTGCATGGGTTGGGGTCTTTTGAAGACTTGGAGATGGGCAATCTCTCAGTGCAGGTGTATCTCCACCCTCCGTCTCACCATCTAAAAGAAGGTGAAATGTTGTAAATGTAAATGTTGCTGTAAAAAAATACCTCCTAGAAAGGAATCATTTAACATGTTGTTTGTTTAATGTGCACAAAAAACAAAAACAAGTTAAGAGGCTTTATGTGCTATCTTGACCAACCAAGCAGTCAACCTCGTTTTCCCCTGCTTTCAGTTGTTAATAAAGCACATAACCTTTCTCTAACCGTTCCTTTAATAAATCTGATTGAGAGTCACTGTCATTGTTCTCACCTGTGTCTTTGTCCTTGCTGAGCAGTAGAGCTCTGTGGTAGCTGCGTTCGCGGGCCTGTTCTACAGAAGTGGACGACGTCCTAAAAAGAAACATCAAGAAAAACATTGGTATCATCACAATACAATTCCTGAGTAGGAATACATTGAGTGATAGAGCACATTCTAGATATACACTATGGACATCACAGGCTTTTTAAAACCTTGTAATAAGCTGTATGACAACAAAGGGTCCTTAATATTTTAAGTAAAAGTAGTTTTGAGAGTACATACCATTGTCCTTCTCCTCCTTCCTTCTCTCCTTTCTCTCCAGGCGTCTCTGCCTCCTCACTTGCCTGAGGCTCTTTTACAATGGTGGTGCTGGTGTTGCAGACAGCTGTGGGAGCAGGGGGTAGAGGAGGTTCACTGGTGGTCTCTAGTGCAACGGAGAAGGCCTCCATGGTCAGAGGTGG